CCAAACCCCCCCAAACCCCTCCCCAAGCCCCCGTTACCTCTCCCGCAGCTCCTGGGGGGTCACCCCGGGGGTCTCCACCTTTCTCCGGACCCACCCCCGCAGCCTCTCGGCCTCCCGGCCCAGGTTGGCGGCCGTGGGGCGGGCGCTGAGCAGGAACCCCAATTTCTGCCCCACGAACTCCTCCAGCGCCCCCAAATCGTCCTGGGGGCCCGCGCCCCCCGCCAGCTCCACGGCCAGGCTGAGGCAGCCCAGCAGGGCGATGGCCGGAGCCCCCCGCACCTGGGGGGCACAGAGGGGCACCTGAGACCCCCCCAAAATGGATTGGGGGTCCCTCAAGGGGCGATGGCCGGAGCCCCCCGCACCTGGGGGGCACAGAGGGGCACCTGAGACCCCCCAAAACCCGGGGGGGCACAGAATGACACCTGAGACCCCCCAAAATGGATTTGGGGGTCCCTCAAGGGGCGATGGCCGGAGCCCCCCGCACCTGGGGGGCACAGAGGGGCACCTGAGACCCCCCCAAAATGGATTGGGGGTCCCTCAAGGGGCGATGGCCGGAGCCCCCCAAAACCCGGAGGGGCACAGAATGACACCTGAGACCCCCTAAAATGGATTGGGGGTCCCTCAAGGGGCGATGGCCGGAGCCCCCCAAAACCCGGAGGGGCACAGAATGACACCTGAGACCCCCTAAAATGGATTGGGGGTCCCTCAAGGGGCGATGGCCGGAGCCCCCCGCACCTGGGGGGCACAGAGGGGCACCTGAGACCCCCTAAAATGGATTGGGGGTCCCTCAAGGGGCGATGGCCGGAGCCCCCCGCACCTGGGGGGCACAGAGGGGCACCTGAGACCCCCCAAAACCCGGGGGGGCACAGAATGACACCTGAGACCCCCCAAAATGGATTTGGGGGTCCCTCAAGGGGCGATGGCCGGAGCCCCCCGCACCTGGGGGGCACAGAGGGGCACCTGAGACCCCCCCGAAATGGATTGGGGGTCCCCAAAACCCGGGGGGGCACAGAGCAGCACCTGAGACCCCCCGGAATGGATTTGGGGGTCCCTCAAGGGGCGATGGCCGGAGCCCCCCAAAACCCGGAGGGGCACAGAATGACACCTGAGACCCC